AAGGGCAGAACAGTAAGCGAAAGCCGTCCCAAACCGAAGCAGCGAAGAGGACAATGACTATGGTTCCCTATCAGAAACTAACCAGAAATAGAAAATGCAAAAGGATGCCTATATAAAGGAGATATGAGAGAAATATTCCATGATTATAGCCTACAGCCACTAGATCTGTACCAATATAATATGTGAGCAGCAGAATACCGATCATGCGCACTGAGTTGTCCGTACATTTAACATTCCCGGCATTTCAGTGGCGTGCTATGTTCGCAGAACATAAAAGGTGTTATTACAGTAGAAAAAACGAGGGCATTATAATATTTAAAGTTCTATGGTAAACGTAGTAGTACAGAAAGTGCGATTTCATTCCATGGGTAAGTTACAAAATATGTACTTCGTAATTTAATAGGAAAATGGCCCCTTTTTGCGCCGTCTATGGTTTTCAGCTGTTTACATTCGGATGCTATTGCATAAATAGAGTATATAGTTACGACTTACGTTTTCAGTTGCTCCAAAAAAGAGGAACGCATTGCTAAATTGCACTTAAGCCAACAGTCTACATTTCTGCTCCGAAACGGAATGTTCGTAAACCTTAGGAATATACAATACTGACAGTTTCTGGTCTTCACCTTGTTTTATAACACAGAACTCGACAAAACTGTTACCGTAATCGGACAACACGCCTTAAACTTGCGCCATTTTGGTTAATTAACGACGAACTGCGTCTTCATATAAACAAATTGGGCTGACTGTCCGTACAAAAATTCGCGTATAGAAATGTACACGCTCTTAAATCATCGCGAAACTACCAGCTTGGTTTTCTTGTTGTCTCCAGTATTTAAGGAAATACCACTTCCACCATTTTCAAATAAATCGCCAATCACGTCGGAACGCGCCAAACTTCTCCGCGTAATTCGTCAATGGTTCTTCGTTATCAGCACAGGAACAAGTGCGTTAATTAAATTTGGCTTCACGTTAAAATTTCCCATCCCAGACGACCACATGCAACCTTTTATAAAACACGCAAATTTGACCAAAACCAAAGCGACAAAGTTAAAACGAAAACTACGCAATTACAAACAATTGCAGAAGGAAAAACAAACACTTAAATACAAATTCAAGTAATACAAAGAAATCTGTGCTTATTTCGTAAGCAAGATTTACTTAATAAATTGAAATAATCTCATATACAGGATGTCCCCCGTAATTATTTTTGGTGTTTAGATGGAAATAAGGCACATAGGATTACAAAAATATTATAAATGTAATTTCTTAAGTTTTAATTTGCTTTAGTGATAAAGTTGTTTAAAAATTGTTAAGATTTACTTATTATATTACCTACTTAGGTCATTACCGGAATTGTCCAGTTTTGTAAATGTGCATCAATCTGGTCAGGACAAAAAACAATAACGCACAAAAACTCTAATGTTTAGAAAAATTCGTAGGGGTGTAATAGTTTCTGAATAGAAGATCAACAGCAAAAGTCGCATTTTCCAAAATCTATTGATAGGTTTATCATTTATGTAGATGTGAAGTTTTTTAGGAGGGTACTCGCTTCTAGATATTCTAAAAGTAGCACGAGCCATTAAATTCATTTCTATTGATTAAGGACAAATCTATATCATCCAGCATGTAATACGGAAAAGATGCTTTCAAATTGAAACATCTGTTATGCAGTTAAGCGTGTTCAATACGATTCAATTATTGCGCACGTTACAGTTGCACCGGAGATATTGCAAATGTGTTTGCGTGACTGCCGTAAATTCACTTACAAATTGCTTTCCGCATGTCAAAAAATCTCGTTTATTTTACCATTACGTTTAGCAAAGAAGGCGCTCTTCTAAGTTTAGCGTAGATATTTAAAATAAATATCTAGAAGTCCTGTTTGTTTATTTGCACTGCTCAAAGTTTCAAGAACTTCGGAAGCTCTGCGAAGTTTTTACTAAATAAGAATCTTGAATGAAATGTAGATGAGGTAAGTTAATGACTTTTTCCGTTACGTATAACTCAAGGACGTCCTAAAGAAGCAGAGGTTGATATCGATGCAGTAAAACAAAAAGAAATGTTCGATAATATTGAATAATAAATAACCGAAATTTTCCTAGTTTACTTCGAAATTACTTCTGGCAGGCATCCAGATCTTACTTGAGCATACTTTTGAAGTGCAACGTTCAAAGTTAAAAAACTTCCCTTAACAGTGTACTGGAAAAGTTTCTCAAATTATTCAAGTGAAAAGCTAGACGCGGTAAGCAGGTGTGGAAAGTAGTGGAGCGAAATTAATTTTTCAAAACGTACCAAAGATCACCAAATTTATGTAAGGGGCGGAATATTATAAATCAGATAGGTCGCGTTCGGTTTTTTCCCAGTCAACTATTTTCTGGTGCCAACGGCTAGTCTAGACACCTCGTCGCCTTTGGAAAATTGAAAATAGCAATGAACCTTCAGTGGTGAGCCTCTTCACTATGTTTACAAATCCTAATGACATCGTCTTGTTGGCAAATATTACTTTTGGTAAAGTTTCGCTAAGAAAATTAATTGCTATTTACAATCTGGATTGTTTACAGACTTAATAATCCCTAACAACTTCTAACGTTAATCGCCGATTTGCGTGACTAGTACATAAAACGCGTTTGTAAAAGTTTAAGCACCCCCAACTTGTTTGTACGAATTTGAATGGAAGAAAGTTCTAACAGTCTAAAGAATTGACTTTTGTTCCTAAACGGTTTAATTCAGAAACAAAATAAAGGTAGGCGAAATTTTAAGCAAGAGCCTGCCTTAACAGAAAGTGCGAATGCCCTAAACGTACTCCAGATACAATGTTATTTAGGTGGCCTTGTTTAGTATTTCTTAACAAATGTTTGCTTTTATACACGCTCGAGGTACTATAACGAGTTTAACGATTATTTCTGAGTTTCTCTTCCGAGTTTCCTTTTATATTTTCCTAGCCTCTCTTCCCCAGTGATGTTTTTACAATAATTTTCTATTACTGTCCTCGGAGTTCTCTCATCCTAAAATGTTTTATTTAGCAGCTTTGCGTCTATATATGTGTAAATTTGGGCGTTGAAAAGGATAACGGATCATCATCGAAATTGCTTTCGTAGGTAAAATTGCTTTTGTAAACATTACCCGGAACACTGAGGACAGTAGGTAGTAGATTTCGAGTAAAAAATAGCACTTTGTATCCCTTATAGCTGAACGTCAACCACAAAATATCATTTTTACTCCTATACAGATGTAGGTACATTGTTCAGGCCTTTCAACGATCCGCTCTATATAATTCCAGATATCAACATCATTTTATTCTTTTAAAGTCATAAGTTTCCTTTAAAAACCCAAATTTAGATGACGTGGTGAAGAAATAATTTAAAAAATCAATGTAAAGTTAACGAATTTTACAACTCGCAACTAAGCACTTGAGAAGGATCTAACCACCAACATCAGCTATTCTTTTTGTTGTAATCAGTTAATCCGATCGAAGTGAAGGTACAATTTTGTTTTTATTTCTCCAAAGTTGAATATATTATACAAAGTGAAAAAGATGTAGAAACAGCACTATCTTCTTGATACTTCTCTACCCATTTTCATGTGCCACAACCAAGAAATATCTTGTGTGATTACTTAACCTTCACACGCAGGAGGAAATCTTTAAGTTTCCTCCCTTGTTATACAAATATTAAGTGTGTTTATGATACTAACAGATGAAGAAATTAGTTTTATTATAACGTCTCTTTCGAATCAAGATAATTGACATCAGAGCGTTTTTCAAAATTTACTCTGAAAACCCTCTCTTTATAAAAACTCTAAAATTCTGAATAGTACAGTTACTGTCACTCGAATAAATCGAGTTGGTTTGTAGGACTGCAAACGGAACCCAAATAAGACTTTAGGTTCCGAGCCATGATCAGATGGAAGCACAATTTTGAAAATTCTGTCTTTTAGCGCGCTGTGAGTCCGCGTTCATTTAACTATAAAACAGTTTTTCTCATGTTCTTAATTTATTGCACGTTCTCCATCAATATTGGCAATTAACTCGTAAGTTCCTTTCAAGCTCCCGCACAAGTTCTACTCAAATTCCTCTCATTCTTCCCATACGCTTTCCCCCAATTTCCTCATAGACCGCTCCTATTGGTTTTCAAATTCGTTTTAAGGTTCCTCCACGTTTCCACCCCATTATTCTCAGGTTTCTTTCACCGTAACTTCAAGTTCCCTAAAGTTCATCCCCATTTCCTTTCCAAATGTCTTGAAATATTTGTCCAAGTGTTCATTTTAACCCCTTCGCTACCAGAATAGTTCCGCATACTTCGTAAAAAATTTTCGGCAACTATTTTCCGAGTTGTAGTTGATCGAATCCATTTTGTTTCGTTCATTGAATTAAATAAAACAAAAACTTACAGTCCCAACGTTTCTTCTGCTTTTACAGCAAGCCACTGAATGAACGGTGGATCATTTTATTTGCAAAGATAGTGTTTTTATAAGCAAACTTGACATTTCCATGGCAATCATGAAATTGTGAATAAACCCATAAAGAACGTTTAAAAAAGCGGCAGAGTACCTCAGTGTGACCCCACGGAATCATTGGATTTGACCCATTTTCAATTGGTTTGTTACATGTGGCATATAAGTCTACTGTGCAAAGTTTCAACTGAATAGGTTCAAGCGTTTGGCAGGGACAGAGAAGCGTGACCCCACGGGGTCATTGGATTTGACCCATTTTTAATAGGCTTATTACATGTGGCATATAGGTTAACTGTGCAAAGTTCGAACAAAATGGATCCAAGCGTTCGACAGTTATCGTGTTCACGGACGAACGGACAGGCGGACAGACGGACACCATTGACTCCCCTATAAATCTTTCATCGCTTTGCTCTGCCACTTAATAAACGGCCTACATAAATAGATATGTATTCGAGCATAACGTCAATATGATTTTATTTTATTTCCCTTATTTTTAAATTATATTGCAGATATAATAAAAAATACGATAAAAAAATACCTGTATAATCGGCCTTTAAAGCACTTGCAACGGTGTGTGTGCTTAAAGACTTGATTATACATTTGTTTCTCAATATACTATTTTATTTAGTCACATTTCATTCACATTCATACATTTTCTTAACTTTTCGAATATCAATTTCACTCATTACCTTCGCTACTCCAATAGGAATAGTGGGGTCACCCTAGAATGAAATATTACTTAAAATACCTAACATAGCAATCGATATACAATACCTTGGGTAGTATTGTCGCTTTACCATTCTTGGTAAATGCGTTTTTTGTGTAGTGCATGATGCTGTTGTAGTCGTAAGCTTCATTGAAGCTCGTTACCTTGTCACCATTGTGCTTGTTGAAATTATGCTCACGTCCTAAGACAATATTAGCAGTTACGAAGGGTATTTCTTTAAAAGTTCGAGGTACCTGGTTTAATATTCTCCCAAAATATATCCACGAAATCGTCCCTGTCTGTGGAACTTTGCTGGTGGTAAAAACCGGCAGCGTGCAAAAACTCGTGAACGATCGTGTGGTTCCAAACACACCCTATAACTTGCAAATTCAAATTCTGTTTTCCTCCGATCCTACCAACCTGGGACCAACAGCCAGAATTGTTGCCCTGCCAGTAAAAAAATGAAACCTTATCGTCACAAGGGTTGGCAACTTACAGTAACGTAAACATAATCTGATTCATCAACGCGTGGCTTCACTGATATGCAAGTTTTGGCAAACTCTCGTTCGAGTACTTCATTAATTTGTGCCTTTTGCTTTTCGTCTAGAATCGAAAATTTAGAAAAAAAAACGCTACTGTTAAATAGACGACTTACCGAAGTCGTCCGATAGTTCGTAAGGAATATTTCTGTCTTTCCATCTCAAATTGGCATCAATAACTCCATTTTGTAGACCGTCGGCCAACACCATGTCGCCTTCTAATTTACCGCTTTCTTGCCACAAGTCGCCATCATCAGTGACTTGAGTCGTATCTGCTTGTACTACCGCTAATGAAACCAATAACACTATTATGAGCATGTTTGAAGAGAATGTTAGACGTCCAATCATGATTTATTCGAGTTAGTCTCTCCTTATATACCTACCTACCCGTTAATCCATTAGATATCAGTGAACTGATCGGTATACCTACTTAAATGATAATTTGGAGATCGAGTTCAAAACCACTTATAATTTTCGTTCCCGATAACAGCAAAGAATAACTTTTTGGGAAGCGAAATGTTTTTTTGCAAACCGCTGCTTCCTGGTCGTCACTCGAGGAGGTAATCGGTTGCCCTTTTCCATTGCGACAGTTTTTATTTGGTTCAATAGCTACCAGTTTTCCAAGTTCTCAATATTGCTTTTCATCGTAAATTGTAATAAAAGTGTTTACATCAGCCACTTGAAAATACCCAACGATTTTATTGTTCTGTTTTGTCACTTATGCAAAAACCTCCTATTCACTTATAAATTACTCTGTTCGACTCACAATTTTCTTAGTCACTACGATTGGACCATTTTGTGCTTATTGTAGCAATTGGTAAAGTATATTCATATTCATAGCGAAGTTGTTTGTTAGAAATAGCGTCGTAGTTCTTGAATTGAATGTTATCACCTACACGTGGAAAAGATTTTAAGTAGTTTCTATCTACTATCATCAGGAATAAATAGATACAATAAAAAGGAAATGTTGTAACTTTTAAATATATTAAGAGCACTGTAAACACGTGTACTTACGCAACAGTCCTGTTTTTTATTATTTTATTTTTTTGGTTTAAGATATTTTTTTAAGGGTGTTTTCTATACAATCCAAGACATCGTCCGACACTTTAGGAGGTGTAAATGCACTAATAGCCTCACCCCCTTAAGGTAGGTACGTTCCCTATAACCGCGTCCGACGCACGACTGATTATTAGGGGTAAATGTTTTGAGCGCTTTTTCAAAACATCAGAATTAAGAGATTCATACTCTGGGCTGTGACTGAATTTCGAATTGCAATACCAAAATGACGAGTTAGAAATTACGAATTGCAACTTGCAAATTAAAAACATACCTATGTTCTGTGGCCCCTGTACGCTCTCGTATCTAACAGGTGTTCCGTGTTTGTTAATAATGTGAATAATAATAAATACATGCTTCTGTACCGCTACGTTTCCCGACCCTCTAAAGATTGCCAAAATAGTATGTCTTTACAAATCTGGGGACCATAAATCGATAAAAAAACTATCGCTCAATAGCACTACTATCGATTTTTTCAAAAATAATTGAAAAGTGCATTTCAAAGTGAATTATTGATTTTCTTTATAAACACTCCGTATTAGCGAAAAATCAATACGGCTTCAAGAAAAATGCATCTACCTCTAATGCGTTCGTCACAATTTGCGACTTTATCTACACACACTTAGATAAAGGTAAAAAAGTTATGGCTGTGTTTGCAGATTTGTCGAAAGCGTTTGACAATGTAGAGCACGCAATCTTGTTGGAAAGAATTGAGCACAACGGTATAAATACAAACTAGTGAAGTCCTATTTGGAGCAAAGGAGACAGTTTGTTCATTTCGATGGTAAAAACTCCTCCTTGCTTGTTAGTAATAAGGGAGTTCCTCAAGGGAGTGTTCTTGGTCCATTATTGTTCATACTATATATGAATAATATGGATCAAGTGGTGCCAAGTCGCCATGTTGCATTTGCCGATGATATAACCTTATTATTTGCTGAAGAAACGGAATCGAAGGCAGCTACTAAAGTTAAAGGTTCATTGTGCAACCTCTCTCATTATTTGGAAGAAAGCAACCTAGTTCTTAATTAGCAGAAAAGCTTTTAATGCAATTTTTTACACAGAGTTCGAGATACGTCTGTAGCCAATATATACCTTCGATACAACAAGTTTCGAGTATTAAATCTCTAGGTTTATACTTAGATGTTTCACTGTCATTTGAAGATCATGTAAGCTATATTCATAAAAAGTGCGCTGGTGTGTGTTTTTGCACTGAAGAGGTTGAGTTGTCTCGCGCCTATTAGCATCACAAAAAGCTATTATTATGCCTGCTTTGAATCCATCATCAGGTACGGTATCATATGTTGGGGAAACAGCGTTGCCTCAAAACGAATTTTTATGCTACAGAAACGGGCGATTCGAAATATGTTCAAAGCTGACTACCGCGAATTATGTAGAAAGTTGTTTTTGTGTAATCATATATTGACGTTGCCATGTATCTACATACTTACCACATTATGCTTTGTAAAACAAAACATTGAGAAATGTCCTAAGCTCAATGAAACTCACAATTATACCACGAGACATGGCGCTAACCTGCAGTATAAACTTCATAGTCAGAATTCTATAAATCAAACCCATTTTATATGGGGGCAGTACTCTATAGTAAATTAGATCCACAGGTAAAGGCTTTAAAACAAAACAAAAGATTTAAAAATGCCGTCAGACAGTTATTAATAAAAAAAAACGCATTCCATTCAATCCAAGAGTACATGGAGTTTGTATAAAGTAATGTCATTGTGATATTGTGTGTTATATATATTAATATATTAGTCTGTGATGCTTGCTGGACGAAATTTTTTTAAATATAAATGTAATTTGCATTTGCATTTGCATAAAGCACGATCCACTTTCGAATTACTACCCCTCCTTTATGCAGTTACGATGAGGTTTCTTGGAGGGAAAAAACCAAAGGAAATCATGATGTAGGTGTTGGTCATATACTACATTGATATGTATCCACATATGAAAATATTCAACCTTGGATAGTCAATAACATAAAAACGATGCGTTTTTTTCCGTTTTTTCCTAATTATGTATCCACTCAAAGTTATAGCAAATTTAATAAGCTTTCATTTTTAGGTAGGTACAAAATTTTTGCTATGAAATGTAAATGTATAGTAGGCGAATGGAAAGCTCTCGGAAAGACCTACATTAAAAATATACGTCCAAATCCGAGTTCACGAGAAATCAGCTTTTGACTTCGGACTTGTTTTCGACACAACAAAAAAATGATTTTGCAAATCGGGTCGCATCGAACGATTCATTAAAGGGTGAGCTTTTTAATGCTTCAATTTTACCAAAATGTATGATTTTTATTAATCAGAACGCCAAGGGCCTATTATAGAGTTACCTTCCTTGTTATATTTCGGGAGTTATTAAATTTGTTAGTTAACTAAAAAAAATTCCACAGTTCATCAATTTGCAAGAATCATCGGGACAAATTTTGGAAATGGTTGTCTTAGGATTCCACCATCTGTAAACAAATGTAGAACGTTCTGGGAGTCACCCAGTTTAAAAGACCAAGTATCGTTTTGTAAATTTGTTTATTTAATTATGCCATAACTATCAAATCTACGGTGATCGGGTTTGTCATATTGTTTTGTTATCAAGAGAAGTGACCAAATACGGATTTTCAAAAAGATCGGATGAATTTTACTTAGTAATAACCAATTGATCATCTTTGGGATTGCTTTTTTGTATTTTTCCATAAAAAACAATAACATTTGAAAATGAACGTTTCATGCCCATTGTATCTTATGGAAAATTCAATTTTAAACCAATTCATTTCTCTTCATTTTTTCCCTTAGAGTAATAGTTAACGAGATAATTGAAGTCAAATACGAAAAGAAACATCTTGCATTTTTTCATCGTTTTTTGTTTATACATAACAATATATTCCGGAAGTTTTCGGCTAGGGGGACTATGGTTTTCGGATTCAGCGGATCTTTTTACATAGAAGACACTTGATTTCGTTGAGTGAAATGACAACACCCAGCTCAATCTGCGCAAACTGTAATTTGACTGCACTAAGTACTTATGAATATTGACACAACAAATGCGATCGCGTGGCATTTGACGTCACTTTCATTCGTCCAATAGTGAAGCGTTTCGAAAATTTGAATTTCGTTCGCTTATTTTGCACTTTTGAATTAACATTTTTAGCAATTAAAAACAAACTAAATAAGAAACTAATGATTTAAGTATAGTGTCAGGACAATAAATATTTGCTGGAGAAAGAATCAAGTAAATTTAAACCACATGCATATTCCCAACCAATAGTGGCGGGTTCCGCTCCGAGAATGGTAATCTCATTGGGCATTTTGTATACGGTTTAAAATTTGTGTTCATGGGGACAAAGTCGTGAAGGGATAATTTGAAAAGTGGATAAGGGAGAATCGCGACCGCGGTAAAGGAGTTCGGCACCCGGAAGAGAGATCTTCTGGTGGTGTAGCGGCCGAAGAGATTACCTTTGGAAGCATAAAAAAAGGGGTCGGGGCAAAACTCATTCGTGTTAGTAATTAATTTTAGAACTGTGAAAAAATCGGGCGGTCGGATTAATTGTGCCAAGATTACGGCCGGGGCGTACTCACGGGGTTTGTGCGGACTTATCGCGACGGATACCCAAAATAAATGTAACGCCAAATAAACTTCTCCTTTTTCTTACGCCGTCATATTATAATTGCAATTGCGAGTGGGTGATGTGAATCGTGCAGAAATTGCCCAGTTAAAGAGTGTCGATATTGAAACATTTTGCCTAAAAAAGGGGTCCGAATTGCAGTCTCCTTACCCCTCATACAAAGAGGGGGTGTCCCAGCTAGTTGGAGTTGTCAACCCGAGCTACTTTTGGATCCTCTACGTACCAGCTAATTCCATCAGCATGTACATCTATAGATTTGAGCACAAGTTCATTTAGAAAATTCTTCAAGAGCTAGATCTGTTTCGGTTGTTTGTATTTTTGTTATTCGAAGAGACTCATGAGAATAGGGATTAATAACGAATGTTAAGATTGTATATACAGGGTGGTGACGCGTAACGCATCATAGGGATTTCAATGTAAAATTCATCGCATGCGATTATTGGCTCCCCCAGTTATTTTAGAGCAAAAATGTATTAAGGTTTTTTGTAGAAAAAAATTTTTTACGTCAATCAACCGTATTAGTTTTCAATTTTTTGCATAATAAAGACGGAAAATTGGAAAAATAAACCCCCATCTTTTTCAATAATCTTTGATGCCATGGAATTTTATAATACAAAAACTACGCCAATATCCGTCATGCCATGGAATGTCTGCTATAAAAGAAATCAAATTCTTTCAAAGAGTATTATATTTAGAACAGCGAATTCA